AGCGCTATGAACTTTCCCTGTAGTACTGCTTTCAAAGTGTCCCATAGGTTTGGGTATGTTGTGTCTTCATTCTCATTGAATTCGAGGAAGTCTTTAATTTCTTTTTTTATTTCCTCTTTGACCCAGGGATGGTGCAGTTGAACATTATTCAATTTCCATGAGTTTGTAGGTTTTCTGCAATTTGTGTTGTTGTTGAATTCTAATTTTAAAGCATGGTGGTCTGATAAGATGCATGGAGTTATTCCAATTTTTTTGTAGCTGATGAGGTTTGATATGTTGCCAAGTATGTGGTCGATTTTTGAGAAGGTTCCATGTGGTGGTGAGAAGAAGGTATATTCTTTTTTATGTGGATGAAATGTTCTATAGATATCTGTTAATCCCAGTTGGGTCATTACTTCTATTAGACCTTTTGCTTCTTTGTTGAGTTTCTGTTTGGTATTCCTGTCTAGTGGTGAGAGTGGTGTGTTGAAATCCCCCACTATAACTGTGTGGGGCTTTAGATGAGATTTAAGTTCTAATAATGTCTCTTTAACGAATGTGGATGCCTTTGTATTTGGGGCATAGATGTTCAGGATAGACACTTCATCTTGGTGGGTTTCACCTGTGATGAGTATGTAATGACCTTCTTCATCTCTTTTGATTGATTTTATTTTAAAGTCTAGTTTGTTAGATATTAGGATTGCTACCCCTGCTTGTTTCTTGGGTCCATTTGATTGAAAAAAATTTTCCCAACCTTTAACTCTCAGGTAATGTCTGTCTTTAAGGGTGAGGTGTGTTTCTTGTATGCAGCAGAAGGAAGGGTTCTGTCTTCGAATCCAATCTGCCAGTCTGTGTCTTTTTATGGGTGAGTTAAGGCCATTAACATTGAGGGATATTAATGACCAATGATTGCTCATCCTTCTTCGATTTGCGATGGTTGTTGTTGGTGGAATTATGTGTGGAATTTCACCCCTTTGTTCTTTTGGCTGTTGGTAGAGAGGGATTCTCTAATGCTTATGTTTTTCTGGTTGTAGTTAGCTTCCTTGGGTTGGAGTTTTCCTTCCAAACTTTTCTGTAGGGCTGGGTTAGTGGCCACATATTGCTTGAATCTAGTTTTGTCATGGAATATCTTGTTTTCTCCGTCTATAGTGATTGAGAGCTTTGCCGGGTATAGTAGTCTGGGCTGGCATCCATGGTCTCTTAGTGCAGGTAGAATATCTATCCAGGACCTTCTGGCTTTCAGAGTTTCCATGGAGAAATCAGGTGTAATTCTGATAGGTCTGCCTTTATATGTTATTTGACCTTTTTCCTTAGCTGCTCTTAATATTCTTTCTTTATTCTGTATGTTTGGGGTCTTGATTATTATGTGGCGAGGAGATTTTATTTGTGGTCCACTCTATTTGGTGTTCTGTAGGCTTCTTGTACCTTCATTGGCATGTCTTTCTTAAGATTGGGGAAGTTTTCTTCTATGATTTTGTTGAATATGCCTTCTGCCCCTTTGAGGTGGATTTCTTCTCCTTCTTCTATACCTATTATTCTTAGGTTTGGTCTTTTCATGGTGTCCCATATTTCCTGGATGTTTTGTGTTAAGGATTTGTTGGATTTAAGGTTTTCTTTGGTTGATAAATACATTTCTCCTAGTGTATCTTCAACACTTGAGATTCTCTCTTCCATCTCTTCTATTCTGTTGGTAATGCTTGTATTGGTAGTGCCTGAATGTTTGTCCAGCTTTTCTATTTTCTGCCTTTCTTCAGATTGTGTTTTTTTTAATGACTCTATTTCAGTTTTCAACCCTTGCAGTGTTTGCATTGCTTCTTGCAATTTTCTGTTTATCTGTTTGTCCATTTGTTGCCTTTCATGAATTTTTTGGTTTGTTCTTTCTTACATTTCTTGCATTTTTTGGTTTGCTTTTTGTTCCATTTCTCGCATTTTGTGCTTTGTTTCTTCTTCCATTTCCTGCCTTTTTTGGTTTGTTTCTTCTTCCATTTTTTCCATTTTTTGCTTTGTTTTTTCTACCATTTCTTGCATTTTTTGCTTTGTTTCTTCTTCCATTTCCTGCCTTTTTTGGTTTGTTTTTTCTTCCAATTCTTGCATTTTTTGGTTTGTTTATTCTTCCATTTCTTGCATTTTTTGGTTTGTTTTTTCTTCCATTTCTTTGAGGGATTTTCCAATATCCTCTTTTAGGGCCTCTATCATTTTCATGAAAGTGCTTTTAAGGACGTTCTCTTCTGCTTCGTCCCCATTGGAATGTTGGGGTCTTGCTGGTGTGGAGTCTCTAGAATCTGGCGGTGTCATATTTGTTTTTCGGTTGCTGACTGTGTTTTTGTATTGTCTCTTTCCCATCTCTTCTTCTAGTGGGTGCAGAAAGAGCCCCTTACTGGTCTGGGGACCAGAGTTCCCTTTTGGTGGGTGCTAGCAAGTCCAATAATCTGGTGGTTCTTCTATTCCTTGTCCGAATGCTAGTCCTGGTCTCCCTGGGTCCTCTGTTTTCCTGGTCTCGTTGGTGGGAGAGAAGACTTGGGGTCTGGGTGCTTGGCTCCCGCCGGGATTGGGAGCTCTGTGCAGTTCCCAGGCGATCTGCAGGCACTGGAGCACAGGCCGGGAAGCCGGCCTGTTTACCTGATGCTGCCTGAGGAACAGCTGCTTCCCTGGACTCCCAGCCTCCTCTCCTTTCCTGGTCTCGTTGGTGGGAGCGAATATCTGGAGTCTGGGGTGCTTGGCTCCCCCCGGGATTGGGAGCTCTGTGCAGGTCCCAGGCGATCTGCAGGCACTGGAGCACAGGCCGGGAAGCCGGCCTGTTTACCTGATGCTGCCCGAGGAACAGCTGCTTCCCTCCTGCCAATTTTCTAACAATGAAGTATCTGTCTCTATATGTTTCTTCACTTTTTTTTACTTTTCCTCATATTATCATATTTATCATCGCTGAGACCAGAAGACATAAATATCAATGATATACTAATAAAATTATGGTATGAGAAAAGTTATATTGTGTGTGTATCTGTGTTTGTGTGTGTGTATGTTGATCTATCTCTGTGTGTGAGTGAGAATGTTAAGGTCATGTTAAGTTTGACTAAAGCATGCAGAGATGGCATAATATGTAAACCTTGGCATCACACTGAGTGCCTGGTTGTATCCTGATTTTTTAAGCACCTCTTGCTCAGTTGACTCTTAGTTAAGGCACAGGAAAAGGCAGAGAATTCAGTGACGAATGGGCATGCAAATTGGAAACCAAAGTAAAACCTAGAAGGTCTTGAAAGTCAAGATGAGATAATACGGCAATTAGTAATACTCACAGCTACAAAGACAGGAGTATTTTATAATGTTTAATGAATAAAATTGTGTTTACATTTCCTATACATACATGAGTATCGTTAACCATGTGTATGCAATTCAGTTCAAAGTGTCCTGTGCAATAATGTGTATAGATATTGGTAAAACAGGTGCTCTGCATGGAGAATTTATGGACATGCTACACTATTACTTACCCTTTAAATTTACTTATAATTTAACCACTACATAATGTGATTGTTCTTTAATTGCTCCCTTCTCCCAACTGCTTCACAACTGTTTTTTCCAATAACTCATGAAGTAAAAGTTTTGCTAACCTAGTTATGGTGCAATCCACTGGAGTGAAGGCTACCTAAATGTGGCCATTCCCTCTCTTCCCTGGATCCATTAAACATCACTAACTCCTAAGTTAAAGGGTGGGGCCCAAGTCACTTCCCCACTACATGTATGAATGCTTCTTATCTTGTTCTTGTGAAATTCTTGTACAAGCTTGCAAAGCAGCTACAAGTTAATGGGTCCTGTCATGTCTAGGAGACACTTAGCTTTGTTCTTGTACTCACCACAATCTGTGTCTTAATAATTTTTCTTCCCTCCTCTTCCAAAAGGGTCTCTGAAACTTGGGATTTTCATGATATAGATATCCCACTGGTGGGTAAGACTCCCACTAAAACATCTCTGGACTTCTATTATTTAAATTCTTTTGTTAATTACCATGCAGTACACAAAGAAAATCCTCTAATAATGCCTCAGAGGTTCAGCTAGTCTATGGGTACAGAGATCAAAATTCAGAAGGAAATCTGAGATACCAGTTTCTTTGACAAGGGGTAAGAGCTATACTTATCTGTAACTATATGGATACGTTTTAGAATGTAGCTACTAATTATTCTGGCCTATTAAACTGTTGGCTTTAGTTGAGTTCAGGAACAAGAGTGGGCACTCCCCAGTCTAGGCCAGATAACAGGATGTACCAGCCTGTCTTGGCCTAAAGAGAGAATATAATGGCATGGGATGACAGGATAAGGTTTGATGAAGCAAAATGACTACTCTTGTACACAGGATGAATCCTGTGTGAATCCTGGCCCAGACCTGGAGGTTGGAAAGGCATGGGCATGGCTTCTAAGACTATACTGGACTACTGAGTGTGGTACCATGTGGTCCTCTTTGAGGACTATGGTGAGTGCAACTGACTTAGGGATAAAGAAAGAAGATATAACAAAGCTGGCCCAGCGTGCAGGGCATCCTGGTCTTGCAGAACCTGTTGGGTAGTTGGCATGTGTAATGGGATAGGTTCTGGCAAACTGAAATACTTTCTGAGTTTTTGGTTTAGTTGTTTTTTGTTTGTTTGTTTTGTTTTGTTGTTTTTTCAAGACACTGTTTCTCTGCAGCTTTGCAGCTTAAACTGCAACTTGCTTTGTATACCAGCCTGGTCTAGAACTCACAGAAATCTACCTGCTCTGCCTCTCCATTGCTAGGATTAAAAGGAGTGTGCCACCACAATATCCCCATTACTTATTAACATGGAAATACTTTTAATTGTGAATTTACTCTTTTAACTATATCAACATTAATATTTACTGTGATTCTAAACTAAGTTGTAGATTTTCCATTTGCCAATCAAACCTCTTAAAAATATTAACACATTTAGTACTGAATGAATAAAAGAAACCAAGTTTTCTTTGTAACTTTGTCATATATACAATGTTTATTTTTTAAAGACACCCAGTACAATAAAACATACTTTCAAAATGTATAAAAATGATGTGACATTATGAATCATTTCTAATTCTCTGGGATAAGCAAATGTCACTCTTAACAAGTAACACACACCTCAAAAGCTTGAGACAAAGGTCAAGCATATTCATATCTACACGCAAGCAATAGGATAATTTACAAAGAGTAAAAAGGCGAAACTCTTCATCAGATGATTGCAAGTCTTCAAGACCAGTCAAGACAGTGTAATCCACATTTTCTCTTGTGATAGAAACCTAACAATCAAAATGGTAATCTGTCAGCCATTATTTACAATTTTATCCTTTTCTTTCCAGATATTATATGGCATCTAGGAAAATGATAAGGGCTTAGAGAAAAGCATGATACAATTATTCTGCAAAATGTACATAGCAATAACATTGTGATAGATAAGAGTATCTACCAAGTCTAGTCAGAGATGTAATTAACAAGGAGATTCACTACTGAACAATGTACAGAGAGTGAGAGACTTTGATTTATTTAATCTTAAATAAGATGTCTTCATCAAACTCCTCCCTCAAGGATTCAGTATCTACTTAGACAAGGAGGTAGAAAGATTGTAAGAGAAAAAGGTGGTAGGTGATTCTAGGGGGCAGCATCTTCCAGATACAGCAGGACTGATATACAAATAAACCTGTATAAGACCTGCACAGGTTCAAGCCAGACAAAAATCCCAGCACTGAGATGGGGAAGTAGACACAAAGTTCAGAAAGTTATTTGCAATTGATACCTGATAAAAGAGGAAAAATCGGTTTTCTCCGAAAGAATACCACTCGACATATTGACTATACTCTGGGTCAGATCTCATGCCCTGGAGTAACTGGCCAACACAAAACATACTAAATGGGTTTTTCTAGTTTTGTGGTGTTGACTTTTTATTGGGGGGGTATTTTTTGTCTTATTTGTTCTCCTTTTCAAAGTTGTCTTGCTGTTTTGATTTCTATTTTTTTCTTTTATTTTTGTTGTCTTTCTTGTTTTATGAGAGAGTGGGGAGAGAAGAAAAGGAAGAACAGGAGGTTGGGTAGATAACATGGTAAAGAAAATCTGTAGGAGTTGGGGAGGGAAAAATAGATGCAGATATACAATATAAAAGATACATTAAATAAAAATTAGGAAAAGAAAACCTGTTATCACAAAGCAAAGCAAAGGAATATGAAACTTCCATCACAGGTATGGTTTTTCACATGCCACGCACATGCTATTATAAATCTGTTAGTCATCTAAAGAAAAGGCAAGACCAAAGTTTGCATTTTTTATTCATTAAATTGACTTCAGATGAAATTGGTCTTGTTATGATTCTGAAGATGGAGGATCAATATTTCATATCAAGTATAGACTTGTGATTGGCATTGGTGATCAATACTGATGGGGTAGGGGTAATTTAATATAAAATAAGATAATTTCAGTCTGTCCCAAGCAATAGGTATTGTTCAAATTACTGTGAAAAAGTTACACTTGAATCTCTATCCATTTGTTCTGACACTGTCTACAAGACTGGGTGCAAAAATCTGTTTTTGCAAAGTGAGGTGTTTCAACACTTAATATCCATTGCAAAAGTCTTATCGTTCATGAAAGAGAAAAGTAGAATTAAGAACACTACTCACCGAGCTGAGTATTTTCTTGATGTCCTCAGAAAGCTCTGCATTTTTTCTCTCAATGTCTTTGGCTAATGATACTACATCATTATGTGTTCCCGGCCTATTTCCGAGTATGGTTAGGAAGTTTTTAAGAGTGTCATTCCAAGCCCGCACTCTACTGAGTATCAGTTTTGGAAAGTCTTGAAGCTAAGAAGCAGTTACATGAAGATAAGTGAAATAAAGAAGAATGAGTCAGCCTTAGTTTTCTGTGAGACAAATGAATTAAATATCCATTTGGTATTTTTAGGAAGGTAGAATGGTTTGGGGGAAATAAAAATAATATAGATTAATAAAGTAAAAATGATTAACCTGTAATTTACCATCACAAAATAATTATATATTTTTATTTCCCATTACCCATTTTATTGATCATGTGTGCTTTCCATGTGAAATTCTGCCATCTGACCTCCCTATAAACTCTTTCATGCTTCTTTATTTTGCTTGTCTAGGGGAACCTAAGAATTTTCTGGGGCTTCACTTTGAGAGAAAATAGATCCCACCCAGTGTAAAAGGCAAGAAATTTAACTTAGATTCACAAAACAAGAAATCTAGATTAATCGCAATCATAATTATTTTTATGTTATTTTAGGCTATTAATAAAAGTATACCATGAATACAACCTGGCATTAATAAGTGTGGTTCCCTCAGTCTAGAACGCTCCCTCTCCTTGTCTCTAACACAAGAGAATATTTGGTGAAACATGTAAGTGACGAACAATGGAACAATGAGGTATCATCATCTTTAATGCTATGACAGTATGAATAGAAATAACAACAGAAATTTTACTTTCCAGCTTGTTCCAGGACCTTACATGAAACTCATTCCTGGCTTAAAACAATTCATGTGCTGATATGTTTAGTTATCACAGTGACAATGAAAAGAGAAGAGGGGTATCTAGTGGCCATTGTGATGGAAATATGAAAAAAAATACAGGAAGAAAAAGACCAAATTCAAAGGTGTTGGCTATGCAGTCTCCTAGGGCCATTGCTGCATATGAATATGAGTGAGAACATAAGTTGTATGGAACATGACACCCATTCTGATATAAAAGGCTTATGGTCCAAGTTCCATAAAATTTTCAATAATTCAGTCTAATTACCTCAGCTAGCTTTTGTGATTGTTAATTGCAATGTCAATAAAACATGTTGTGAAGTACTTAACCATGGAATACATATCTAAAACCCCTTTTCTTCTTTCATTTGCCCTACTACTTTCACATGAGGTTTAAGTCAGTTCATTTGAGATTAAGTTATGAAAAAGAATCCTAACGAAAGACCATAACACTTTTAAATTAGAGCTGCAATGATATGTAGATCTTCTCATTAAGCCTGGGGGCATTGCTCAATCTGAGGAGAATTAGACAGCATTTATTGCACTCCCTTGGTCAGGTGCTTACAGTGAAGACAAAGAAGAGATCACAGAAGTTGTGAAGAAATGAACAGGAAGGCAAGAAGAAGAAGTAGAATCAGATAAGTTTTGAAAATCAAGAAGACTGAGCATGGTGGCCAATAGTGTGAGAGTTGCCAGTGGAGAGCCATTCTCTGGGAACATAAAAGGAACACAATTGTATATACATTTATCAAGCAAACTCTAGTGTTGAGATATCATTAAACTAAAATCGTCTTAATGGACAATTTATGAACCTGTTTTAATATTACATAATATTTGCTTATTTTTTATCAAGTATCTAACATGATTTCTCTTTGTTCACTCTATTTTCCTATGCATGTTTACTACATCTAAAATAATACTTGCAGCCTGACAAAGCAAAGTTAGTCTACTGCTTCTCTAAATGTTTACATAAAAAAATCGAACCAATGACTCACAGAGATCATTTGTGCTTCATCCATGCTTTCTGGTGTTTTCATCGAGTAATTGTGGCAGCAAGTGAGATGCTTGATCATAAACTCCTGATCCTCAAAAAACTCTAGCATCTGTACATAAAGATTAATATTCAGTTAGTTGGAGTCTACAAAATAAGCCAGTGAATCCACAACAACAATGTTATTGCTTTTTAAAATTTAAATGTGCATAAAATCTATGATTAAACACTTAACAATGTCAATATTTTGATGCCTTTCTCCTTAATAGGGTCTATAATCACAATTTGTTCTTCATCTAAATGTCCAGAGCTCCAACGCTTTCTCCTATTGACTTTTCTCTTATTTTTTGTTATTTTTCCCTAAATTTTTCTTTATTGAAGGAAAGCCTTAAAAAATGACAACACTAATAAATTCAAAGTGTCTAAGAGACATTTTTCTCTATAATTTGGGCCCAACATCAGGAATATTGTATCTATATTCATCAATTTCTTTGTTCCTATTTATCCAGAATGAATGATATGTGTCTTTTAACTAGGTTTTAACCACTGAGCAGTCTCTTCAGGCCTGTCTAGGTGTTTTTAAATTGTATGTTTTCTTTCTATTGCAAGTGAATATATATACCAGTACCATAGAGTGCTAATCATAAATTCTGACTAGAATTATGTGAAGTTTGACAAAATATATATAACAAACTGACTGTTATTAGGAAATAGTTAGCAATGAAATAAAAATCCCACAACAGTATTTATGTATTGTTTAATATATAATCTTAATATTATATTTCAAATATAGTAGTTATAATTAATTATTTAAAATTGATAATCAGCTATTGTGTAAAAGTTTAATGAACTAACAGGAATATTAAAAATTTGGAAGAGGGACAGTAAAGAATGAGGAATGAGAATCTTGTGAATAAAAACACAGTAACACATCTATTGCAAATACAGGCATACAGACAGACTTTGGGTGCCCCTCCCACAGTGAGGGATACTCTTTCAGCCTGCTTTCTTGGGGAAAGACATGGGCCCTACCCTGGATGAAATGGCAGACTCTGGGGAGGCCCAATGTTTTATTGAAGCTTTTTTTTTATCCTTTATGTTGACTGACCTTGAACAGGTAGCATGCCGTCATCAGTAGAAGAGAGCCTATTTTCCCTGTCAACTAGATTAGCTCCTACTGAATGAACTCTAACACTGGAGATCTCTAGCAGGATTCCTAACACTGTGAGCTTCTCAAAATCAGTTAGTGTTTTTCCTCCCTCTTGACATAGTTTCCATTTGGATTGGTTCTGTTTTCTATATCCAACCTACTACAATGCACTTCAATCTTCTTGGGTATCTGTAGTGAACTAAGTGAAAATATTTCTTGTTCCTTAAAAGCTAGATCTGGACATAAGAATTTTTCCATAGTCACAATGATTATAGTTTTATGCCACAAACATACTTTTTAAATCAAAAATAAATCCTTTGAGAGAAAATCTTAAACAAATAATTTCATTTTATTTATTTCAAATCAGATTCTCCAACACGTTCTCGTTTTCAATTTGCCTTTTGCTGCCAGAGGCTTTCTTGTGTAATAGTACAAGAATATCATATCATGATACATCTAGATGTGTGCTATGTGACACTTGATCTTCAACACTTTCTCTCCTAAGTCTAGGAAATATCATTAGCATGAAGGCTTTTGTGAGGGAAAAGATGGAAATAAGTGAGTCACTTACGAATTGGTTGTATGACTCTGATGATGAAGCTAGCTGAATCCAGATGAGGGCATGTTTAAAAAAAAGTGAGTAAAGAGATATCATGAATACATATTTATTGAAAAAAGATATTCTCTGAGTGCCCATATTGGTACTGAAGCCATGTCTAGTGTCTCTTTCTTGACACTAACTGGCCTTGAACAAGTAACAAAGCTCTCAGGAAGACAGAGCCTGTTTCTTTTCTAAAACAGCTTTCCCAGTGAATAAATGTCCTTACCAAAAAATCCTTTAAATATGATTCCCAGCATTTAGGAGTTTATGAGAAGTTAATATATTGTTGTTGTTGTCTGTTTTTTCCCCTGCTTGAATTATCACAGTTTAGATTCATTCTATCTATTCCTTTTGTTGTTGTCTGTTTTTTCCCCTGCTTGAATTATCACAGTTTAGATTCATTCTATCTATTCCTTGTTACAAAGTCCAATGTAGTTGTCCTTTATTGGATGTCTCCACTGTGCTAAGTAAAGATGTCAACAGCAACTGGTTTATAGCAGAAAGATCATGGAATTAAAGTTATTCTCTAGATACAACTATGAAAGCATTATTTTGCAAGTATAAAGATTTTTTAAGTAAACAACCATTATGAAGGGAGAAAGACCATAAAAATCATTCTATTTCTTGCAAGCTAGAAACTTACAGAAGCTGTCCCCTCTATTCTGCTTTGTAGTAACCAGCCCATTTTATGCTTGGAAGTATATTACTTGAAACCTGGGTTCTTTCCCATGCATAGTTAAATCAAGGTCATTAACCTGAAGGCTTTAGGGGGTAAGAAGATAGAAGCAAGAGAGGTACTTACAAATTTATGGTGGAATTTTTCAGAGAACTCACTGTCAGCCTGACACAGGATAAAGGGAATGACAGAAAAACTAGTGAGTTATATCAATTCTTATTTCTTACAACAACAGACTCATTCTTCCGGTGTCCATTTCTATACAAAAACCTTGTCTACTGTATACTCCTTGACGTTGAATGACCTTGACCAGAAAACATACAGTTCACTGGACCAGAGAAACTTTTCCTCTTCTAAACTAGCATATAAGTGAATAAAATCATGCTTTTTAACTCCTTAGACAAAGATTCCTGGATTTCAAAGTTGAGAAGCTAGTATTTGTGTGAGTTTGTGTGTGTGTGTCCATGTATGTGTGTGCATGTATGCATTTTGATGGTTTGTTTTGCTTTTCCTCTTGCCACACCATCACAATTTAGTTTCATACATTTCATGTGACTCACTGTAATGCATTTCCTTAACTGTGTGCTAGGTAAAGATGGGAACAGAGACTGGCCTCCAGCAAGCAAGGTAAGGAAGTCTATTAGACGTTTATGCCACAAATGGAAATTTAAGCAAATTTAAAGATAAGTAGGGAAAATTTCCATAGTTCATTGAATTCTTCAAGTATCTTTGGAATTTCAGGAAACGTGGCTCATTCTCTTTACTTCACTTTTTCAATACCTGATGATTCATTTTATAATTAGAAACATGCATTATTAGAAAGTGACTCAAGATAACTGCAAATGGAGTACAGGGCTATCTTTGACAAGGAGGCTGCTTTGTGAAATAAGCCAGAGATAAATGAAATACTTACATACATCCTTCGCATTTCAATGTTGAGCTTACTGATATTCTGAGATAGCATTATCGCATGATCAAACAGTGTCTTGAGGTAGAGTTGATCATCAGTCTCATTGCTACTCAAAGGCACAGAGGCCACATTCTCCCATAAAAGGAGATTTGACACCAGCAACAGCTGAAGTGCCCCTGCTAACAGAAACAAGAGGCATTCAGATACATTCACCCAAAATTACCACCTTTACCCAGTGCCTTCCAACTGTGTAATATGTTACTGTATAGTAGAGGTAGTGAAAAAACAACTTTCATTGTGAAGTTCTAATTATCGTTACATTTGCACAGGTATATAGTGTGAGAACTTAGGGACTTTCCACAGTCTGGAATTTATATGAGAAATAATTATGAAATTTTCATCATTAGAAGATCAAATTAATTGTCTTTCAGTTCAGTGTTATAAGAATCGATGAAGAATTTATGCTGGTTTTCAATTACCACTTCCTGCAAGACATCATTTTTCCTATAATTTTGAGATTTAATATAGTTACATCATTTAGCCCTTCCCTTTCCTCAAACTAATCTCTCCATACACTTCTCCTTGTCCTTTTTCTCATTAATTGTTGTTATGTTCATATATATATATATATATGTACATTTGTACAAACGTGTGTGTGTGTATGTGTGTGTGTGTGTGCGTGACCTTTATTTTCAAGGCTGACCGTTAATGTTAGATGAAAAGATGGGTGTGCTTTTCCTTGGGGAAGACTATTTATCCCACTCTCATTATGACTTAGTTGCCTGTAGTTCTTTGTGTAGGGTTGAGGCCTCCTGGGCCGTAACTTCATCCATGCCTATTGTTTTTGTCTTCATTCAGCTCATGATTAGGCAATCATATTGGTGAGAATTTATGAGTGCAGCTTCTGACATTCCTAGAAAATACAATCTCAGAGCAACCTCCCTGTTCCTCTGCACAAATCTCACACCTAAGGCTCAGAAGTCATTGCAGAAGATGTGTAGGAGAAATATGAGTTTTGCAAACTAAGTGTGCATTGCCTGTGCTTTTGAGGACTGCATGGTAGCTTTCATTTGATCTTCCTGCTTTAAAAGAGTGACTGCTATGTAATACAGAGGATGATGAGATTCCTATTATGAAAACAAACCTCTGGACTGGTTTTCTATCTTACAGTAATAATTCTGAGTTTGCCATTCTACAACAATCTTCAGAATGTCGTTTCCATAAAGTTGAACTTTCCAATAACTGTCTGGTTAGACCAATCCTATGTAATGTCATCAAACAGCATTATAGAAAGAGAAGGCCTGTAGGATTAATTGATTTTTCCGTATATCCTAGTATCAGCTGTTATAAGACAGATTGCCAGCACTATGGGCTTTGCATTATGCACTGTGATTCAATACATATCCAGGCTCTCTCAGTTATAGCTGGGTTGCAAGGAACACATCCATAGTCTTGAGGCTCAGTGTCAGCAGATTTGTTACTTATAGAGATCAAGGTTTATCTTTTAGCACTATATCACAGAAGCCCAAGTAATCATTATTTTATTTACTTGTCTTGTCTAGCAAGAAACCTCTTTTAAATGAGTTTCTTTCTGACAATGGGCAGTGTTGGATTTCTTTTCAAATTACATTTTATAGGTGGACAAAACAAGAGCTTAATCATAGTGATAATCAATGCTTTCCAGGAAATGAAGCACCATGTAGATACCAAAATGAAAATTTTATTTTTTTAGTAAACAAGTATGAAAATTTCCTTATGTCCAGTATCTTTGAAACATGCAATTGTAAAAATTTAAATTAAAATTAGGATACTGAAAAAATGTATTTATAGTAAAAATAACCCAAATCACAAATGTTAAAAATAATTAAAATATCAAAAAATGTGTAGTACATATTGCAATCATCAACTATAATCTCAACAAAATAAAATACTTAAGATAAATCATTTTAAATTTTTATTTCATTTTTTGAGATTATGATAATGATATTACTTGCTTCTTTCCTCTCTTGGCTCCAAAATCCCCTTTTAAATTAATCAGTATTTATTTAGTTGTTACATTTATATACATACACACACATGCATATATATAATGTCTTCAAATATATATGCATATATGTGTATTATACTCAATTAGTATATATGAATAGTAAGCACATGTTTTTAGGGATGACCCTTTGATGTTGAATATAAATCGGGGAACTCTTTCCTGGGCAATACTATTTCTTATAAAGCTAAATTTTCAAAAATCATAATGCTTTCCTTGATTTATCTTATACATGGTAGCTATCCATGTATACTCTAAGTACTCTACAGTCCTTCCATTTATTATCTGAACCATATTCATAATTTAATCTGAGTGCAAGGAGAAAAAGATATTGTTTTTCTCACAAAATGTAAACCTTAGAAATTTTATAAACAGAAGATAAATATTACATAGTATCTGTTTTTGAAAAATATTTTGCTAAATTGACAGTTCTAGATCTGGATAGATACATACTTATCTGCTACCCTTGAAGACTAAGTCCCCACATTAGAAAATATTATTAAGTTCATTCAAGTCAAACATCTCAAAGCAGAGATCCAGAAACCAGAAATTGGTACAGTCTACCTTTTATAGTTGCTACAAACTCAGTATGCAGACTCCTTTAAACTCATTCCATTCAGATGTATCAGTTCCTGTTATTTGACTTTTTGATGTCAATCATTTCATGTCCTGGTCATCTGAGGTTGTGTAACAATTGCTCTTACCACTAGAAACTGAAAAGATTTCTTTCTATGTATGTCAATTAAGAAAATCCACAGTACCTCTAGATATTTCTACATATCTCCTAAAATGATTGCTCCTTTTAATAACCACTGATACAAGAATGTGTGCTGTGTTTCTTTCTATAGAAATGACTAGAAAGACTCGCAGCTTTATCTGATTTTACTTGTCTGAGATAGGCATGAACCACAGTCTGTTCATACCCAAAAGGGCAAAACTAATCATCTAAAGGATTTTGTAAATCAATGGAATGTCTTAATTTACTTAAAGGAACATGGAGAAATAGTTACTTACAGGAGCATGGTTGAGAGTAAGTCAGTGGCATCTCTGTACAATCCTGCCACAGCTTGGCTTCTTCACTGCAGTCCCATCTCCAGTTAATAGTCCACATCATATATAGTCAGTTGAACTATCCCAAAGGCCACACACTGCTAGGAGGCAAGAAGAAGCAACATTGGGAATAAAAGTAAGGGTCATATGACTCTTCATCTTCAGGCAGAATCTAACATCCTCATGACCATGGTGACTCAAGTAGTCAATATGAACAGTTCAGCTTATTCCAAGAGTATTTCTAGTGTCCAAATTAAGTTGCAAATCACTATAGCCATCATTGCTCCATAAAGGTTAGTATGAATTCTACACCCTAGAATAATAATATCTGTGTCCCAGACTTTTGCCATTCTTCAGTTACTTACATGGTCTGTCACTGAATCTTGATTAGGGTGACATTTATTTCACTGTTTCTGAGCGTTGCAACACAAGGTCACAGAAACAGTCATGCATTCTGAGTAGTTTAATATGCATCATTGTGTGTGTGTATGTGCGTGTGTGCATGTGTGTGCCAAAATCCAATGTATTATTTAAGTGTTTGTTTATACACACTAGACACAATAGCTCAGTAATATAAAGTGCAAATACAGACATGTAGAGTGTTGCTTTGCTTTTTTGTTTTTTTGGTTGGTTGGTTGGTTGGTTGGTTGGTCATTTTGGTTTGTTTTTCTTTTGTTTTTGTTTTTGTTTTTTGGTATGTTTTTTTGTTTGTTTGTTTTGTATTGTTTTTGCAGACAAAGTGCCTTCATTAACCAAATATCACACAAGGTCTTCATGTTGTAGCTTAGAATATCCTAAGTCACAGATTTTTCAGGCAGGCTTACCTACACAAATATAGGTTCTGTAATGAACTGGGCTTAAACTTTATCAGAATATACTTGGTTGAACCTATGGCAGTGGTATACAATTGACTGAGTGTAAGCATTAGGATTGGATGGGTAGTTACATTTATTTTTTCTAAGAATGTCCCTTTATGAGTCTTCACAGAAGTATTTAGGGCAGTGTCATCTGAAAGCAAAGCAAGAGTCACAGATAGATATTTCTTTATTGTGCAAACATATCATGTGCTACACCATTCCCTAGTTTGTTAAATGTACCATTAGTTGCTTCCAATACATTGATAATAGTCTATATTGCATGGATGATCAATTTCCCAGAAAACAAGAGCAGCGTCTGGTCAGAGCCAGAGTTCTTTGAGTAGAGGAGGAGTTACAAGTGATGGTCTTCTGCTGCAATGATGGTCTTCTGTTGCCATGATGTTCTTTTGCCTCTGTGAATCACCAATCCAAGAATAATCTAATTTATGGTATCAATAAGTGAGTAAACTCTAACTCCCTAAGCACCTATATCTCCTTACTTCCCAGTAAAATGATAATCCCAATTCACTTAAAAAATCAATGCTTACTTTTGAGTTGGACTGTGGCTCGCCCCTTATCTGAACCCAAGCATGTTGTTGAAAGAAAAATTCAGAGTTTTCTTTCTCATATCCAAAAAGCCACCTGGAGTGAGACAGAAGCAAATCAAAATTTAGGGACTATCATTGTCAAAACTCTGTTAGCTCCCAAAAATTCTATTTTTCTCTGTATTTACTTTCACCTTTATTGGTATCTTTCCTTGTATGCATACCTATAATAATTTAAACTTTCCATTTTGATATTAATGTTTAAGTGTTCCACAGTAAACAATATAATTTCCTAACAACAATCTTTGAAGATGGGGCCCCATAACATGGATACCACTTGGTTCAAAACGATGTCTTTGAACTAGTAAACAACAGTCAAGGATTGGTTTTGAACTAAAACTTCTCTAGACAATTTCAGATTAGCTAACTGAGATGGTTCACCTGTTTTCAACACTCTGGCCAGAGCTTCAGATTAAGAACTTCAGATAAGCCTCACCTGCTTCTCAGAGACCAGCTCCAAATGTTACAGCTGGTTCTCTTGACATTTAATCATTCCTTTAGTTTTTTTACAGGATCCCATAGAAAAAAATGTTGCTCCCAAAATAGCTGGAAGTAATTCTAAGAAAATGACACGCCCTTTCCCTACAGTTGACTTACATGGTGCTTTGGTTTTTCCCAAGGATATGGATAAATGTCATCACTTTGGGGCTGGTTATAAGTTATGTAGTGCTGGGGGTGGAATATGAAGTTCAGACTCAGGAATCTGTCTTGGAGAAGTATAAAGGGGAAAATGGGATGGGCTATCGGTAGATTAATATATCTTTTTGTGAACTATTTCAGCAACTGTTAGCTATAGACAACTTGCATTGTTTTTTTATGTTTGTTTTTTTTTTGTTTTTTCGAGACAGAGTTTCTCTGTGTAGCTTGGGAGTCTGTCCTGGAACTTGCTCTGTAGACTAGGCTGGCCTCAAATTCACAGAGATCTGCCTGCCTCTGCCTCCTGAGTGCTGGGATTAAAGAGGTGTGTGCCACCACCGCCTGGCAACAACTTACATTGTTAAAGATTCTTGAATATTGATCTCAGCCTAGTGTTTAGCTGTGATCTCTGCATCTGCTTCCTACAATTGCTAGATGAAGGTTCTATGATGATAATTCAAGTAGTCACAAATCTGATTATTTTCAGAATATGCACAGAAACAGCTGACCTGTACTAGTGGGAGTTCACTGACTCTGGACTGATACCAGGGGAACCAGAACAGGACAAAACTAGGGCCTCTGAATGTGGGTAAGAGTTGTGAGGCTTGGGCAGTCTGTGGGACACTGGCAGTGGGACCAGAATTTATCCCTAGTGCTTGAACTGGCTTTTAGTAGTCCATTCTCTTTGGCGGATACCTTGCATAGTCTATATATAGGTAGGAGGGTCTTGGTCCTGCCTCAAAATGATGTTCCAGACTTCATGACTCCCATTGGGAAGTCTTATCCACTCTGAGGAGTGGATGGAGTAGAGGGGGTAGAGAGCAGGATGAGGGTAGGGAGTAGGAACTTGATATAAATAAGAAAAGAATGTTTAAAAATTTTAAAAAGATAAAAAAGAATAATTCTGTTACCCATTTACTCATGACTGGGATGATCTTGATTGCCCCTTCCATGGAGCACTGGAAGGGCTCCAAAATAATGAAGTCCAATGCCTCATTGAAAATGAGAACAGCTTACAAAGAGTTAAATGTACTCAGGATTTTCATTCAGCCTGCTCTAATGGTCATCTACACTCAGAGGGAGCAACTGAAAAAAGTGACAACGTTCTTTCATTGTTTTAGTATATTAGTAAAATTAATATTTTATTAATACCCTTAATTGCCAAATTCCAATATCAACTAGCTTCTGCAATATTAGGCTCCATATGGACTTCAAAAGTCTTTCTTGTTAGTTAAGCTCTACTTTTACCCTTTTTTCTCCTACCTTCCCACCCTCACATCACTCAATGTCTCACCACCATTATTCTTCTTCTCCTTAATACCATCTCTATTTAGCTGTCCCTTCCCAGGCTTGAAATCTTACCACTCATGCCATAGACCTATTACAGTTTCTTAAGTTATAATGGCACTTCAATTTAAGCACACATGTTTAAAGATTGTAAGATAGGGAGCTGGAACATGCACAGCTCTTCCAGTGGACCCAGGTCTGTTACTGGGTCTCAGCACCTAGATTAAAACTGCCTATGACTCCAACTCCATGGAGATAAAACATCTATGGCTTCTGTGTGCACCTTCACTAACCTCTATATACCTGTACCCAGACACTCACATATACACATAATTAAAAATAATAAAAATAAATATAGATATAAAAATTCAAAGTTAGGATCCATATATGAGAAAGAACATTTGACATATGTCTTTGTAGGTCTGCATTGCTCAACTAAGAAAGATTATTGCCAGCTATATACATTTTCCTGCAAATTTCATTATCTTTGGAGCTGACTAAAAACCCAATATGTACACATACAGCATTTTCATTATTCAGTCATCAACTGATAGGTCTAAGCTCTTTCTACTTGTTTATTGTGAATGGAATGTCAATAGATATGGATAAAGAGTATGTAAGTAACAGGGTTTAGGGTGTTTTTGGTATATATTTAGGAGTTTTATAGCTGGGTCATAGGCATATATCATAAGGTAAATTTCTATAGTTTAAATGAATCTCTACATCAATTTCCATAGTGGCTACCCTATACTACATTTTCATTAATGCCGAGACACCATGTTGTAGACTGTGACTCAGACTGAGTTAAAGCAACCGTGTTCATCTCTCTCTGTTTCTTGATTGTGGGAGCAATGTGACAAACTGTCTCACAACCCCTGACACAGTGAACTGTGTCCATGGGAAATATAAGAAACTTTCTTATGAAGGTCACTCTTGTTAGGTCTTTGATCATAGCAGAGAATTTGTATAAAAAATAAAATAAAATAAAATAAAAAAGTCATTATTCAAGAGTCATTAGTCTTCACTGTCTTTTGGCATTTCCACAGGACTGTCTTGGTACAGGCAGTTAACATTGTCTTTACAATAGGGTATGATTCCATCTTCATCTACAGAGCCTGGCTTCTTATTCATTCATAACTGGCTCTAGGCTAGTACTATGGTTATATCCTGACTATCTGTCTACTGAGAAGGCTAAGGGTTTTTTGAACAACATTAAAAAGAAATGAGTCTAAACGTTAAAAACAAAAGGCTCTAATTTCACAAACACTTAAGTTCAACTTAATTTCCTGACTTTAGTTGATATTCTTCATTTATGGTATACATTATGTTTCCCACCATGACTAACTACCTAAAATCTAGTATCTTTCAGCACAAAATGTACAGTACATAATATGTATAGTAGGTGTGATCTAGCTTTAACAAAATTCATTTCAGAAGAATATATGTTTATATATTTATATGTGTATGTGTGTAATACACATATGTATATATGTAACAATATTAATTGAAGAACAAAAGACCATAAATTTTAGAAGGAGTCTGTAGATGAAAATGGAAAGAGTCAAGGGAGGTTAGGGAGGGAACTGATGTAATTCTCTATCTCAGTATCTATAGTCTGTTACTCTTAGGTGAGTTCTAAGATCCTATATGCTATATCTTCACTTTGATGATTACCTTTATTTCTGTGGAAAAGGTATTTAATTACACAGAATACAGTTTATTTATCCTTGGGACTATTTCTGATTACCAAGTGCCTTTTGATATAGTTATTACCTTTATATATGTTCAATGTCATCTTTTCTTTGGAAGTCCCAGTCTTTCATACATTATTATCCACTATTGAATTCTGGAATTATTTTTGTACATATTGAGAAATATAGATCTAGTATCATTGCATTATATGTACATAAGAATTTCTTCCTTTGGTGGGGTGGGGCATAAAAAAGAATTTCTTCCACAGTACTTGTTGAAGAACCTATATTTTCTCCACTTATATATTTTATTGCCTTATCCTTATCAGCAGTAAGTCTTTGAGAACACCGTATAAATGGGTCATGTGAGAACTTCTTTTTTTCCTTAGTCTCCCTCCCACTATGACAAAGTCAAAGGAAAGGATATCAAGAAGCAATCAGCGTACCACTGTAGAAACTGACAATCTCTGCTATTCCTGATATGTGATTTGAGTCAAATGAGAGTATAAATGTATTAAATAATTATGAGATAAATTGAGACTAGAACAAAGTAGACTTGTAGACAAAGAGAGAAGAGAATATATTGACTATGTCAAAGATGGTTCTAAGCAAATGAGAATTTAAAAGAACATGGCTGAAACACAGTTATTAGAAAAAAATCTCTTACCATCCCATATTTATAAACTACCACCTTCACTTCAAAAAAGTCTAAGAACATCATCATATTACAGTCACATGGAAATAGTATTTTCTGTCTTTTCTTTGGCAGTTGGCCAAATGTCATGCCTGGTATACTTAAGGTAGCCCAGCCTGTCCAGATTATCAGTAGTTTAGCTGGATTTTTAAATGTGATCCCATGCTTTGAATTTATAGCTTGATAAACACTGTTTACTATACTCTATGTTATAAATCACTTGAATTTTCAAATCAAGCATCCGCAATTTGCAATCAAATGTCCCAATGTTATTTTTATCTTTAGTACTAAATAAAAAAAGCAAATGACAACTTTTCTTGTACTTCAGTATATCTATCTATTTTATTTATTCAGAGACCCTCTATGCACATGTATTATTAAAATGTATAAAATTAAAAAGAATCATCAAAAGAGTGAATCATATGGATCATATTTAAAGCTTGAGGATGAGCAGGTGTTGCCACCAACAAACATACATGTCAAGTATTTGAGATTAAAGTCAACCTCATATGTCTCAATTCCCAAGCAGAAGGACAATTTAAATAAAGCTGAGAGGCAAGTTTCTCTATCAGCTGTCTGCAAAGATTTCAGATCTGACCACTCATTGTAGTCCTCATTTTCAATTCCAGGATGAACCTAATGATCAAAAAGATAGTCAGCCACATATTATTTACACTGTTTGTGATTGTTAGTCTTTTTCTGTTTTAAATATTGAATTGCATTTAGAGAAACATTAATAATGTGAAATTTCTGTTGTAGACATTGAATTTCATGAGTCTAGTGCTGGGTGCTCTGACATTGTTAGATACATACAATCAAGACCATGTTTATATTTTCTTATATTAAATTGATGAGAGTTAAAACATTTCCCTTAAAACTAGGAGGATGAAATAACAGAAAATCATAGCCTTGTGTCTCAGCAATACCAGTAGATGTTGATTGGCTAATGATAATTGTTAGCAGATCAAATCTATTTCATTCCACCTATGAAAAATACTGTCCCAATGATTGTGAAGAATAGTTAAACTTTTATGTCAATTCCTGCTATTATTGTTTTTATTTTTATTTTGTGTGCACTGGTTTTTTGCCTGCATGTATGTCTATGTACGGGTATCAGATCTTGGAGTTACAGATAGTTGTAAGCTGCCATGTAGATGATGAGAAGTGAACCAAGGTCCTCTGGAAGAGAAGTCAGTACTCTTCACTGCTAAATTATCTCCATCAACTTGACACAAGCCAGAATTATCTAGGAATAGGAACTGCAGTAGAAACAATGTATCAATCATATTGTCTGTAGGCGAGTCTATTGGGCATTTTTGGAGTGTAGGGTATGGTATGTGCCATTCCTGGGAAGATGATCCTGAGTTGTATAAGAAAACAGACTGAGCAAGCTTCTAAGCATTCCTTCATGGCTTCTGCTTCAGTTCCTGAATCCAGGTTCATTCCTTGAGTTCCTATCCTGACGTCCTTAGATAATAGACAGTGATATGAAAGTGAAAGTAGGAAAAAAATCACTTTCCTTCCCAAGTTACTTTTGGGTTATAGTATTTTATCATAGTAAGAGAAATCATAAAAGAGACAATCCTTTAAGTGGCTAGGCTGCATACAAGACAGGTTGACTAAATTTCGGTCTTGTAAAGTGGGGTGTTTCAAAATGTATTATTCAGAAGTAATCTGTTTTATGAATAGCAAAAGTGGGTTTAAGATAATTGCTCACCATGTTGAGTATCCATTTGATAAGTTCTAGAAGTTCTTTGTTTTGTGCCTCAATATTTTTTGCTGTGGACAGGACAGCATCAGTGGCTCCTGGCATACCACTGAGTTTTATCACTTGGTAGTGCAGAGGGTCATTCCAGGTTCCCATTAAATTCAGTATTATTTTCAGAAAGTCTTCAAGCTATGCATCCATAATTGATCAATTACATTAAGAGAAATGAAATACAGAAAAATTTATTACATTTAATTTGTTATCAGAGAGGCTGAATTAAAATATCTATTTATAATTCTAATAAGGACACTGGTTATATTTATATATGTAAATTGGGTAAAGTTTAAACTTTGAACATTTAGAACTACAGTCTGCTAAAATGAAATATTATGCTATATAAATAATTACCTTTAAAATGAATTTCATATTGATTGTTTTGTTTTCTATCTGAATCCTACAAACGACCTCCCTCTAAGTTCTTACGTTAGATTGTTTTCTTTGTCATAAGCATCCAAGACTTTGGGGAGATTAAGTATGTGCCCAAAGGATTTGATTTAGGAAAGATACATGCCATCACTGTCAAAGATAAATCATTCAACTAGATTTATAAAACAAATAAGGTGTATTGTTTGAAATCATATTTATTTTAATGCTATGTTAGGATATTAATTGAAAAATATGATGAAGATAGCCTGTCGTTAATAAATGTGCTTCACTCGGTCTCAATTATTCCCTGTTCCTTTCCCTTTCCTATAGGTAAGTAATAGTTTAGATGGTAAGTGCTGGCGAAAATCCATGGTATTGCTTTGACTTTCATAACAGCATTAACAGAAATGGCAGTGGAATTTCGAATCTCCATTGTGTAGTCACTGCGAAGTTTATACAAGAAACTCATTTCTAAATTTCAAATGTTTGCTATGTGTCTTTGGATAGTTTAGTTGGTGCTTTTATTAACAGTAGAAAGGAATCCAATGGATATTGCAACAGAAAGATACAAAATACATGGAAGAAAGGAGCAGTCAAATATTCATATAAAATTGGCTGCAGGAAGCATTGTGCTAGGTGATTTGAAAAAAGGCTTGAGTTACATGAAGCCTAACACTCCATACTGACAACATACTGGTGTTATAAATTCTTTGGATGTTTTCAAAACTCTGGCTTCTCATCTCAGTTAGCTTTTTGGAGGGTTAATTGAAGCAATCTCAATAAAGGACTTTATGGAATGTGCAGTCATGGAGTAGGTCTCTGCACTCAATTTTCTTCATTCATCTGCACTTGCTTCACCTTATTTTCACATTATGTTCAAATCAGTTCAGTAGAGGGTAAGCTGCTAGGAAATTCTGCATACACATAGAATGTAATTCATAATTGTTACAACAGATCAGAATTTCTCATCACAACCAGTGCCATGATTTCCTTCTGAGGAACATTACATCGAATTTCCTCCACCCCTTCTTCATGTGCTTTCAGTTAAGACAGTGAAGAAAGTATAAACTCACAGAAAACTGAACATGTAAAACCAGAGGTCGAATGTATATCATGGTTTTTATCCCAGAACTCACTATTACTCCTTGTTTATGCTCTTGAGATTACCATACCTATTGTGCTTAAAAAAATAAATAAGCCAGGGCATGGCAAAGCCAGTACACTGCTTAAGCTGTTTAAAGGAAAGTTGGCAACTCACTGATAACTTCCGGGCTTCCTGTATTGTTTTTGGAGTGTTGGTGGGAAGAGTATGGCAGCTGTCAAGCATCTTGGGAATATTCTCCTCATCTTTGTTCAACTCTAATATCTGCATATAATAAAAAAGAAATGGAATTAGTTGGAATTTGGAAACTCAGTAAGAGAACTTGTGACCAGATTATTATTAATTGTATGTTAATTTTTACAAATAAACACTGCATAAAATCTATCAATAGGAAAATGAATCTTTTTTCTTTTTTTATTTAAATTAGAAACAAGCTTGCTTTACATGTCAATCTCAGCTCCCTCTCCCTCCTCTATTCCCCTACCCCGACTAACTCTCCCAACCACCCACCCCACTCCCCTCTGTTCCCCAGGGAGGGTGAGGCCTTCCATGGGGGAATATGCCATCCTAGAGCCTTCATCAAGTGGCTGATGAAAGCAGAGGCAGACACCCACAGCGAAACACTGAACTGAACTCCTGTAACCCAGTTTCAAAGAGGGAGGAGTGATGAGCAAAGGAGTCAAGACCTGATTGGTGAAACCCACAGAGGCAGCTTGCCTGAAGAAGTGAGAGATCATGGACTCTAGACTGGTGTCTGAGAGGCCAGCATGGGACTCATCCAGACCCTTGAAAATGGGCGTCAGTGAGGAGGCCTTGGCAATCTATGGGGCCTTGGATAGTAGATTATCCCTGGCATACAAATGGACTTTGGGAGTCCATTCCACATGGAGGGTTGCTCTCTCAGCCTGGACACATGGGGGAGAGCATAGGCCCTGTCAGGGATGATATAACCATTTTTTCCTCTTTAGGTAAGTAATCTCATTTAGTCTTTCATCTAAATTTCTAATCTCTCATCCATTCCTGTTTACTTTTTTCTGCCACTAATTCCAAACTTTTGTATAATGATAAAAGCCTTAAAAATAGTAAAAGTGAAAAACACATGTTTTAAGAACAACCTTTCTTTAGATTTGAGTCTAACGCTACCATAAATGTGTGTCTGTATTTATTAACTTTTTATTTCCTGTTGTTCCAAATTGATATATTTCTTTTAGCTGGGAATTGTAAAACTAAACATTTTCTATCAATTTGCAGTGAGTATATACACATATACCATTCCCATAATCATGAATCTTGACTGGAATTGTGTCAAATTTGACAAAATTAAGCTTAACAAACTAACCATTTTCAGAAAATTAGACATAAAAAATTAAAACTCATAATGATAAATTATTGCATATTGCTTTATATACTAACATTGAAATATTAAAGTCACTTAAATATATTATTAAAATACATATTATCTAAAAACGGATATTCAGCTCATGTGTAAAACTTTAATGGATTACCAGGAATGTTAAAAATTTGAAAGAGGATCAGTCAAGAATGAGGAAGGTAAAACTCATGAATAAAAGATAACATGAGCAGGTATTTATTGCAAAGGCAGGGACACAGTGTCTTGACGCCCACTGTTATACTGAAGTGTTATCTGTTGTTCTTCTTTACACTAACTGACCTTGAACAGATAACATGCAGTCACTGAGAGGAGAAAGCAAATTTTCAGTTGCCAACCAGCCCTCCTACTGAATGAACTCTAGCACTGCAGATCTTTCAACAAGGATTCATTGGTAACATTGATGGTTTCTGAAAATAACTAGTGCCCCTCCACGACATAGTTTTAGTTCAGTGTTCTTCTGTTTCCTACACAACTAAATACAATTGTAATAATGCCTTCTAAGTGAGACTAGAAAATCATGTTTCCTCCTCACCATAATTCTTGCAGCTTGATATCTGAGGTACAAATGTGAGTAAAATTATAAAATACATGGATTTAGAGAAAAATGAAAAATCATGCTAGTCTCAACAAATGGGATTTCCTGAAGCTTTCCTATTCTGGAAAGAATGTTTGTTTGCTTTATAATGGTAGTGGCATCTTTTACCTGTGAAGACATATTACGTGGAATCTGTTTAATGACATTTTCTTACTTAAATTATAATGGAACCATTAACATGAAGGGTTAACAGGAGGGGGAGATGGAAATAAAGGAGGTACTCACAAATTTAAAGAATTTTTTTGAAGAGAAGTCACTGACGAACTGACATTGAATGGGCGCAATGAAAGAAAACGTTGTAAGTAAAAAGCAACACAAACCCTGTCTCGAAAAAAAAAAAACAAAAAAACGCAACTTGAATGCATATTTATTCTATTCTTCAGAGACACCTTTATTAAGTGACCATTGTATTGCTGAAGCCATGTCGATTTTCACATCCCCAACAATAACTGACTTTGAAAGGGTAACATGCAGATATAAAAAAGATTTAGAACCTATTTCACTTCTAAGCAACCATTACCACTGAATGTCTCATCCACAAAAATATTGAAACAGTGACTCCTGGCATTGAGGAGTTTCTGGAAAGCTAATATTTCTTTTCTTTTTCATGAATAGCAGAAAATTTCATGCTATTAATTATACTGAACTGAATGCAATGTTCTGATCCTCTACTGGCTATATACAATGATGAAGGGAAGATGTCTGTAGAGGCTGGCTGTGTGCAAAACAGATGAGGAAATCAGAGATGTTCCCCAGCTGCATCATTTAAGTTGTTATGTGACAACTGGGTATTAACAATAATATTTCTGTAGAATTGACACAAATACTACCATTCATGAATATCTGCATTATTTATTCTCTTGCTCTTTATTGGATCAAAATGATAATCTTCTAATAGTTAAGTAAAAATGATTTCAAGAATCATTAAATTCTTTGTAAATCCTTGCTCTTTTATGAAACTATCATTTTCTTCATGTTCCATTTCTCAGTAGCCATTTTAAAAATCTATGATAGATATGTAGTTATAGATTTGGCTTAAAATAATTGTAAATGTGCTGCAGTATAATTATTGATAAGAAGCCTCCTTTTGGGAAAAAGCCATAGGTAAGTGCAGTACTTACAAATATCCTACGCATTTCCCGATTGAGTTCACTGATGTTATAAGACAGCATGATGGCATGATTGAATAGGTCCTGGAGGTAGATTTCACCATGTCCAGCTCCATGGACACTTGCAGGAAAAGAGGCAACATTCTCACACGGAAGCAAATTTAATACTAGTATCAAGACGAGTGTTCATACTTTAAAGAAACAGGAGGTGGAGATCTAGCTATCTGAGGTTACCAGTAGTACCTCTTCCTTCTTATCAGGTGGAATTTTATCTGTTCACAGTTCCTGCCAATGTATGGTCTGGTACTGTATAGTTGAGAGAGCATCTTCCACTGTGCAAATATAATTAAATAATTAAGTTGCAAATTTCTGCAGTTTGAGAAACCACTGATTTCCTACATTTTTGGACTGAAATCAGAAACTTTCAAACATTTATATCCTAAGTTAATTGTGAGTGTGTGTTTTAGAGACATTCTTTGTAGATAATTTAATATCTTGGGAATTTATGATGATTTCCATTGGTTATTCTCTCAGTAGGCAATATTTGCATCAGGACAAGGCCATCACTGGGTTTTCTTCATTATCATGCCTAACAAGAATAAGTATATTATTGTCAATTATCTAATACTGAGTTTGAAGAGAATTCTATCATGAAAAGTGCCCTACAGGCTGCTTTCAGACTCACGATAATAATTCCATGCGTTGGCAGTTCACCATAAGTTTTTACATAGATCCTATGTGTTGATAAAAGAGAACACTTAAGGGGTAAAATGACTTTTCTTTTGATCACTTGATCAAAGAAGCCCTAGTATTATTGCTTGTATCTACCTCTCTTCCTTTGGAAATCAACCTCCTTTAAATTAGTATTCCTACAATCATCAAAATGGTTCCAACACCAACTAAACTTTTACTGATGGACAAACACAGCATCCTAACATGTCAATAATTTACATGCCCAACAAAATGATCCCATATATTATATTTCAAAATTAAATGTCTACTTACCTTTATCAGCATTAGTCTGAAAGCACTTCTGTGTCACAGAACCTAAGATAAATCCAACTGAAAATATGGAACAGTAAATTGGGAATCTGGTAAGTTTTATTCAAAGAAAACTTCTAGACTCAAATGCTCAAAATAACTGAGCAAAAACTGTAGAATACAAAATATCCATCAATATTTCAAATTTAAAATAAATATTACTTTCAGATAATTCAAATTTTAGAATGTAAATTTACAAAAGTCCAGGTGCTTTCCCCAAATTATTATATATGATAGATATTTATGTATGAAATAGATATAGGTATAAATTCCTTCCATTTATCATCTGAAGGACTTAAAGTCTAAGATTAGTATAAGCAATAAATCATTTTGGTTTTTCACTTCATAAAAATCAATATAAGAGCCAGGCATGGCAGAGAACACTTTTAATTTCAGTATTTGAGAGACAAAGCCAGGTTGATCTCAGTGACTTTAAAGTCAACCTGGTTTACATAGTGAGTTCCAGACCAGTCAGAGTTACGTGTTGAAACCCTGTCCCAATATATACATGCTTGTTACTGATTCCTTTTACTTAAAAATATTATCAAAAATAAAAGCAAATCATAGTATAATGTCCATATTTTAAAACAGTATTTTACTTGAATTACATTATCAAAAATATATAGATCCACGTCTGCTAGCCTTATCTACTGTATCCCTGTAAATGGCACTGTGATTAAGTGCATTCCAGTTAAGCAGCTCATAAAAACTTAAAACCAAAAAAGTGATGCTTTCTTCCTTCTGAATTATTAGAAATTTAGGCTATGATTCTGCCAATCTCATTCTGGTGAAGGAATAAATATAAGCAGTTTTAAATTTAGAGGATATAGCATCCCATTATCTGGAACTGTCTTGCACATTTGAGTTTTGTGTGAACACAACTCTTGTTCCTGTGATTAGATGCTGGCAATATTCCTCTTTTCTACTTTCAGTCAATTAAGAAAATGCAAAACAATTCTAGACATTTCTGCATGTCTACAGGGAAAGAAGATTGTCTTTTAAGAACCCTAATCTAAGAATGTATGCTGCGTTTGCTTTTTAGAGCAATTATTAGAAGGTATTTCTCAGTTCCATCTGGTTCTGTTAATATTGGTTAAACAGGAACAGTGTCCATTCACTTACATAGCACAAAGATGACACCAAAATGCAAAAATGTCCAAACATATGTTGTAAAAGAAAATGCAAGATTTAAACTCACTTAGAGGAATTTAGGGGAATATTTACTTACAGAAGCATAGCTGGGTGGATGGTAGCAGCATCTCTGTAAATTCTCAGCATAGCTTGTCTGCTGACCAAGGAAAAATGCAGTCCTACCTTGTGTATAGTCCAGTATACCATCCCTAAGGCCACACACTGCTTGGATACAGGAGGAAGTAAACTCTGGAATCTAGAGGCTAGTTAAGTTAAAAAATCACTTCTCCATGAAGTGGGAAAGCAATATCATGCCACAGGAAACAGTCATTTCCTGGATCTGCATTCTCTTCTCTGGTTTCTTATCTATTTCCATCACCATTTCTGAAATGTTCACTCAATCTTAGATGTTGTTTTTTTCTGAATATTAGATCACAGGCCACAGTAAGAGTCACCCATTTTGAGAAATTTAGCAGTCAATATTTGTAAATGTGCTTGTTTCTACACACTAGGCACATAAGAAGAATAATATAGAGTGTAAATACAGATGTTTAAGGGGGTCTTTTAAGTGGATAACTCACATTAACTTAACAAAACATCAAAGATCCTCCATATGGATCCAGAACATCCCTAATCATGAATTACCAGCCAGGTAACAGAAATAAACATAGGTTCTCTTCATGGACCTGGACCTAAATCTAATACATGTTTAGCTGCACTTACAAAAGCAGTTATATGACTGTTGGTTGAACATATATATCTGGCTTATTTAGTAATTGCTCTCACTTGGACTGAGTAAGTCTCTTAGCAGCATCTGAAACTATGAACACAATGGGATTTTCCACCTTGATCCTAATGAAAGTTCTTCTAATAATACAAACATAACAGGGGGATTATTGTTACATAGTTTCTTACATTAAATATGGTATACACTAAATACTTTGTCAAGAATCTATATTACATTCATGGTCACTTGAGTCTCACTGTGGAACAGCTCATAAGAAACCTCTAAGACACTGTAGTATCTGACTAATGATTCAATGACAGGAGGAAGAGATGTAAGCTATGATCTGTTACTGATATGAAAAAATATGATGCTTTGGTGAATGTTCAGCTAATGAAACCCCAAAATACTTTTAGACCACTGAGCAGCCATCGAAGGACTTAGAAGCAGAGTCAAGAGGACAAAAATGATGCAACATACCCTATATTGGGAAGATTATTTTTCCCCAGATACTATATATCACATTTTAGTGAAAGAATGTGTTAGGTATTCTTTTCTGCTGAGGTCATAATGTACACTAGAATTGGAAAGTCTTGCATTCAAGTATGAAATGTAAGCTGGAGTTATTTTTTAAAGGAAAGGAAAGAAAACACAGGGTATGCATTTTTACCCAGTCTTTGAAACTTTCAGTAGACAAGTCTGTCAGTGAAAAGGCATTGACCACAGAGCAGGCTAAAGGCCAGGAGAATCAGGAAGTGTTCTCAAAAGGCAGCTGGCGCAGCATAGAAGAAACAGCTTGTTTCCTACTGACTAAGCTGAACATCTGAATTGTTCTCAACTTACCTATTCCTTTGCTCATTAAAAGGGACTCCAACTAGGGAAACCAGATGACGCATTGAGAATGACACTGTTTTGCAAAGGCCTAAATACAGAAGTGATTCCCAGTCATCATTCTCAGCATTTGTATTTGCAGGAAACAACTGAAGTAAGCAACATAAATTTTCATTATTTCGGTAATAAACTAGAAACTTTTAAAAATCCCTTATATACTGAATACCAACATCAGTTCATGCTTGTTGAGTGTGCTTATGATGATCATTAAATGATAATGCCCCTTTTCTTGCAAGCATTGTCCAGGAGTCATGCCACTATGTCTCACAGATGACAAGCACAACCATCTATAAAATAAGTAAATGTGGAAGACACTAATGAGAACAACACTGTACATTTTGGGACCATGGTGCATCCAAAAACACAAGTTACTGGAGAAATACAGCTTGAAGAAAGTTTACCTTTTAGTCAAGTTAAGTTCTATTGTTGATGCTAAACAAAGAACCAAAGTGATTATAACAGAGCAAGATAATTTTATGTAAGATGAAGTAAGGTTTCCCATGCTTTGAAGGTTCCATTGACTTTGAATCTATCTCTAGTTTGTTGAGGAATTTACACAGCAATTTCCATAGCAGCTGCAACCTCTTACATTCCTACCATCTGCCTCCCTTGGGGGTAATGACTCATCTAAAATGTGGAAAGCTCTGCTGCATTCCTTGGCTGTCTCTTAGACTGAATAAAAAAGAAAATTAATTAATTATTTAATTATTTATTTATTTATTTATTGTGTATACAGCATTCTGGGGCACACAAGGAGGGCCCCAGGAAGGGAAAATAGTGGGGCCTGCCTGGAGATGAGACAAACCAGAAGACTAGTTTGCGTGCTTGCATTCTAGGACCATCTCTAGAATTAAAGTAAGTGTTTCCTAGTCAGCCCTATATCCATGATAATAGATGTCTTCTCCTGAGTACCGCTGCTTTTAGAAAGCTATTTAAGAGGATGCTTGAATAAACAGGCATCTCCAGAATGGACTGAGAGCCCTCCTGAAATGACAAGATGTCTCTGTCTCGTTCTAGCTAGGCCTTCCCTGATCCACACTCCCCCACTCAGGGTCAGTCCCAGATGCTGTTTGGCTGGTTCTGAACACAGTCCCAAAAGACATCAGTCCAGCATAGATGACCCCTATAGTATAGGACTGATACAGGTTAGACCCTGGCAGTTTAGTTCTATCCTAGGTCTTTGAATCATCTAGCCATTGGGTTCTGGCACTGCATGGACTCACCCTCATGGCATGGGTATGTGGCTAGACCAATCATGGGTTGGTCACTCCCACAGTCTCTATGTCGCCTTTACCCAAGCATATCCCATAAACAGGACAGACTATAGGTCAAAGGTTATGTAGCTATGTTGGTAGGAGCCAGAAGGGTCAAGGACATCACAAAATACACACAAAGTAAATTATCCCAGGCTCATAGGAGATCACAGAGACTGAAACAACATGGGATGTATCTAGGTCTTCTGCTTGTATGTTGCAGTTGCGTAGCATAGTGGAACTCCTAATAGTGGGAGCAGGTTCTGTCTTTAACTCTTTCTGATTTGGGGGACCCAATCTTCATATTGGGTTGCCTTGTCTAGTCTTAATACTAAGGGAGGTGCTTAGTCTTATAACAAATTTATATGCCATTTTATCAGATAAATCACTCTCTAGGTCTTGTTCATTCTTTTGACACCACTGCTGGTATTTCTTTGTCATCTTAAATGGAAACCATAGTTTATATATTAATATATATAATGGTTGTTATCCTTTTCTGAAATATATTTTCCAGCTACTCTTTGAAGAATTAGATGTGACAACAATAACTATAATGAATGTTAATTTAAAATTTAGATTTCAGTTACATGTCACTATTGAAGAGGCCTTTTATCACCATACCTGAGTGATTTACCAGAAGTCTGAAATTCAATCTTGTTATGAACTTGGATAACACTATGAAATTTATATTTTATGAAATCTAGATGTATTTTATTTTCAAATATCCTGCTGCTGATAAATTAACATTTTTTCATTTATAAGTATGCATAAACTGATGAGAATAAAGTAACATAAAAAGTAGCATAGAGTTAGATGCACTGGACAAACAGTAACTCAGGCAAAATGTGGATCTCACCACATTGTTCCATGGACTCAAGAGATGAGATGGGTTGAGAGTTTAGTTTAGATAATGGCTTTCCATACAATAGCAACTATCTTAGACATAGGCGCAGGAAGGTTTCTAACAGTAGCACCCCTGACTATGATGAAAGCAATTGGTTTGGCTGAACAATTGACTGAAACCATCAGGAATTCTCATTGTGTAGTACAAACTTCTCATGAACTCTTGACCTGGAGAGTGGCCTCGTTTTGTTATTCTCTAGGGTTCACGTAATCCAGTGGATGATGGAACTCTAATTCTAATGTAAATGAAACTTTCAGGAAAGTAAGAGAGAAGGCAAAAGGCATGAGAAAGAAGATAATATTTGTTAGGAGGATCTAAAATGTAAGATATTTTGAGATTTTTGTGAGTTTAGGCTTATAACAGCAAGTTGTTCTTTGTAAATGTCTTTTATATCTTTCTTTTAGTCTTTCATTTATTTGCTTTCTGTCTCACAACCCTATTTTCTCCTATACATAAAAATCTTTTCCTTTTATGTCTATCAAGATGAACTCTCCTGAAATAATCATAACTGTCCAGACTGAGTAAATAGAATATTACTTTCTTACTTTTGTATTTAGGTCATATCAGTATTAATAGACTTTTAAGAAATGTCTGTGTGAGTGACTTTTAGGAGATTCTTCCTAGATAAATTTACTCTTTATCTTTAAGAGAAGAATGACATCTCATTTCTGTATACCTGTGTGATTTTCGTGTATTTTCTGGACCAATATGAATAGGAAAAGAAGAAAATTTTAGGACCCCAGTAAGGGATCAGCAATGACTTTATGTTGTTGCCACTCCATTGCTGATGGGATTCTGATGTATGAGATTCCTGTGTCAGTTGGTAAAACTCACACTTTGAGGCACTTTTCTTCAGTAGCATGCATTCAGGATGAGAGGACCTATGGCAGTGTCATGGTGAAACTCTGGAGTGGATAAAGAATCTAACTAGGGAAACTCTTTGAGTGAGTACTAGATATCTGGGGAAAACACTGCTATGCCCTGTGAAAGAAGGAGATAAAATGAAGACCTTTTCAGGTTCTAGTCCTGGGACTGGGCTATATCAAATTGAATTGTTGACCAAAGAAGTTCTTTGGGAACGCCCAAACAACATAGACTGTTGTCAAGACTATAGGTTGCTCTCCACAAACAAACAGCAAGACCTCATCAGTGAAGACATTACCTAAACAACTCATTGAACATGGAGAAGTCAAGCTGGTGCCTACAGAGAATCTTCCCCTCTCTGTTCTAGCAGCTATGTTACAGGAAGTTACTCTAAATGTCCCTGAAAGAGAAACACAAGCTACAAGCTAGTAAAAAACTTGGTCTATAAATAATAGTATCCTGCTTGAAAGATATGCCAGAACAACAGTGGTACAAAACCTGTCTTATTTGATTGAAGGCCCACTCAAGAAGTTGGAATCCGTATCTCATATTGCTTTGGTGCTCAGGAAATTGAGACCTAGGGACCTAGAGAAAAATCAATACTACTTTTCTAAAAAGAGAAAACAAAACAAGCAAAAAACAAAGAAACATTGTAATAAAACTGCTCAAAGTGATAGTCTGCTCTCCTCATGGATCAGTGCCTTGCTCAGCCATCTCCAGAGAAGCTTCCTCTTGAAGCAGATGACAGAAAATGCAGAGACCTATGGCCAGACATTAAGCAGAGAGTGAGAGACCTTGGGATACTTAGACTCCATCAAATCTTCCTCCTGAGGGATCAAGGAACTCTGGGGAAGAGGAGACAGGTGATTGTACAAGCTAGATGGGACAGACAACTCCAAGAAAACAATGCTCTATCAACATGATGAAAGCACATATGGACTCCAGGAGACTGAAGCAACATGCACAATGCCTCCATGGCTCTGTACTAGTTCTTTTGTATATACACTAGGTCATACAGTTTAGTGAGCTTATGTGATTATGTGGTTTCAGAGTATACAAACAAGGAGGCCTCTGTTTTATACAACTTCTGCTAGGCTCCTTTCTGGTTCTTTGTTTGTTTGTTTCATTCAATGTGATGAAAATTTTTGTTGGTGTGTTATTTTTTGTTCTCATTTTACTATATTAATTATATTATATTAATAATTATCCTTAGAAGCCTGTTTGTTTTCTAATGTTCTTTTCTAACGAGGATAGAAAGGAACCGAATCCAGAAAGGAGGCTAGCAGGAAGAAACTAGGAGTAGGGAAGGATGGGGGAGTATATAGAGAGATGGATAATATGTAATCAGTATATATTGTTTGAGGAAAAATATCTCATTTTCAATAAAAGGAAAAACATTTTTAAAAAGACCTTATCACCAATCAGTCTGTTAGTTCATCATGTAAATTATCAAATGGGTAAAATTTCTGTTTCCTACTTCTTTACCTAATCCTGTCAATGGCAAAGCAACCAAGATAGAGAAGTAGAGAAGAATATGACCTACATAGGAATGGATGATCCCAGCCTTGCCTGCTGTGTTAATTGAGCCAGGAAAGAAAGGGGCAATATAGTAACAATTTTGAATAATAGATATTGAAACTAGACCAAATGAGGCTCCAGAGTCATAGGGGGAATAAAACAGATTAGGTATACCTAAGATATACCTAAGATATACCTAAGATATTGTTAAGCAGGACATGATTCAGAGAATCATGGATGACATGGTATGATAAGAAATAACCATTTCGTATTTGTACACTAACCACATAAATTCAAAAAGTTCTTAGCACTTAGTCACGGTGAAACTTCAGGGTGATATTGTTTTCTGGCATTTTACTATGAAAGTTGGCTTAGAGGCATAATCAGTTTTCATAAAGGACTCCAATATTTCCATGTCTCTAATAGAATTATTATGCCTTTACTAGTGATCTCATTCATTGATTGTAACTTTATCTACATTAATTTACTGAGATTCTAAATTAAGCTATGCATTTTTCCCTTTGCCAGTTGAAAATATTGGGTTTGTATAGGGAGGTCTCAATGCTATTGATAAATTTATTGCTAAATGAATTAAAGATAGTAACAAATTTTCTTTCTATGCTCTGACATATCTCGTGTCTCTTTTTTTATTAATAAACACAATGCACTCAAGCATGTAGTCAAAGGGTATAAAATTAAAAGAAGCTTCAAAAAGATGGAGCAGATTCCAAGTAGCAGATGTTACCATGCATATGCAGACATCTCATCATATAGATATAAAATTCAACTATTTGCAGGTCAACACGCAGGCAGTATGAGAATACATAAAGAGCAAATAATCGAATTTCTTCATCGGGTGCCTGCAAGGAGTCCAGATCTGACCAGACTGGAAAGTCTTCATTTTCTTGGAGCGCAGGATTAACCTATTGACCAAAATTACAGTTACTTATTATCACTGTTTGTATTCATTTTGCCTTTTCCTTTGTGACTGTTGAATCACACTTAAGGAAATGTTATAATATGAAATTTGAATTACAGGCATGGTTTTCCATGTTTCTACCACAGAACACTGTAAATCTTTTTTTATCATCTAGAAGCAAGACATATACATCTTTTTTCAAATCTAAATTGATGCTAGATGAAGTATGTCACTTACAAATAGACAGATGGAACACCAGGATTCTACTACTTGAGCATAGACTTGTGTTTTTTCAAGGGACAAGGGAGGAACTGTGACAGTTCTTTCACTTTAGAAGCATATTAGCTGGAGTGATTATGAAAAGAATCTAATGAGGTACTTGGGGGTATTTCACTCAGCCTAGGAAAGTGCCTGCCCAAATGACTTTGAGGAATTGCTATATTTTTGTCTACCTTGTAATGGAGAGGCTTAATGCAAGGATAGATGCCTAACTTTTGTTCTTGTAACACAGCATCAAGTATTTTAAAATGTATCATCCCTTACAGAAGTCACATTATTCATAAAATAGAAAACTAGAGGGTAAGGTAATTACTCACCTTGGGTACTATCTTCATGATGTACTCTAGAAGGACTTTGTGTTGGGCCTCAATGGCTTTGGCCTGTGAGAGGATAACATCAGGGACTCTTGGCATAACACTGAGTTCTGTCACTAGGTGTTTCAGAGGGTCTTTCCAGGCACGCAGTGTATTGAATGTTATGTTCAGAAAGTCTTCAAACTATGTAACAGATATTGAACAATCATATTAAGATAAGCAAAATATAGAACGATTAGATACACATGACTGTTAATCAGAAAGCATAAGCTAATATACCCAGTTGTTACTGTTTTGGAGAGGTATGACTTCCTTGAGATAAAAATGACGTGGCAATATAAAAGTTAAAATATTAATCTATAGTTTTCAAAAATGAAACAGTTTATATAAATAAACATTTCTGTGAACTATATTACTGAAGACATTCTGATTTCTGTCTGAAATTCTGGCTTCTGCCTTCCCTTTCAGTCATTATATTGCTGATTGTTTTGCTCATCCATGAGACCGCAAGGCTTTCTTGAACTGAGGAGGTGCCTACAGTACTAGAATAAGTAATACAGACATTACCAGTTTAAATTGCAAATCATTTAACTCATATTTATGACACAAGTAACTATAATGTGTATAAAATAAATACTCATTATGATCTTTAGGATATTAATAGGAAGGTACTTTAAGGACAACGTGGTCATTAGTAAATATGGTTTGTCAGTCTATAAAACCCCCTCCCCTTGTATCTAATAGAAATGAACATTTGTTGACAAGTAACCCTGAAGAGCAGTGGGCCTCATTGCTTGTATAGACACCACAGTTAAATTTTGACCCTTATTTATGTGTCAGGATTGACCCTCATGGCTGATTTAAAATGTTTGCTATGTGGATACCTTTTAAGTAATCTAGTGATAAGGAGAATGAAGAACAGGACAGTATTCAATGGGCACTAGTACAAATGTGAGAAGTTTATGAAGGAAAGGAACAGGTGAAAAAGTTACAGCAATTCATATTGCCTTGAGCATATGAAAAGAGTAAGGGCTTGGGTTTAATGAAATTCAAAGCTCCATTATGACTGGGCTGGCTGATGATACAAGTTCCACAGAGCATTTCAGATATTCATTTTCTTATCTGAGCTATACTTTGGGGGAATTAATTGAAGCAATTCCAATAAACTACTTTGTGGCATTTCTACAATAGAGTAAGTCTTCAGAAACAACATGTTTCCATCTTACTCTACTTTAACTTTATTGTTTTTAAGTGATGTTTAAGTTAATCAATTGGAGGGTAAGAAGTGAGTAAGAAAGGAGAAGTCAGAAAATTTTAGTGGGAGTTGTTGTGACATATAGAACTTGTCAGCACAACTGAGGAATTGCCTTCCTTGGGAGAGTAATAAATTTGATAAGACTCTCTTGTTCAGGTACTCTCAGTTAAGACACAGAAAAAATATAAAGTCAAGGAGTTTGGGACACAAAGGTAAGAAGCAGATGTAGAACCAGGATATTCCTGGGATTCAAGAAGAATTAGCAGCTCAGTAGTCAGTAATGAAAAGCCTATCATTGTGGAGACAATATTAATTTATAATGGACAATTGGATTTGCATGCCTTCGGCATAAATATGAATTTGTTTTTAAAAATAGGTTTTCGATTCCATTCAAAGTTTCCCATAGAGTAATAAGTCAATTCCCAGTGGCAAGACATTGTTAAAATAAGATCTTTCCGGTGGTCAGTTTATAAAGATCTGCTAAAATTATCTGCTACATAACAATTATTATATTTAATTTCCTTCATACTTTATAAAATGTATACTAGGTTTTCATTTCACTGCTCACTTTTACTCATAGCCCCTGCCCTTGTGATTTCCACACCCCTGCCAGTACTGATAAGAAGCCACAGCATGACAAAGTCAAGGACTGCTTCAGGTAAAGTTTGAATAAAATGCTGAGGACACACCGAGGTCTTGCGGACTTCTGCTTTTGTTTCTGGAGTTTTGATGGGAAGAGTGTGGCACTTGTTGAAGACGTCATTCAGTCTCATTTCCTTGTGCAAGCTTCTTAGCTGAAAATGTTCAAGAGGAAATTTGAGTTAATTTTGATTTAAAAATTGAAAAAAAATGAACGTGTGATCAGAATATTAATACATTTAATAGATGTAAAATTTTTACAAATAAGCACGGCATGAAATCTAAAATTAAGAGAGTGACTCTTTTACCTAATATCCCATTTAACTCAGTAACTTTATTTCACCTAAATTTCTAATATATCATACTCTTTTCCTATTTATTATTCTACTGTTCTGTCACTATAAAATTTACTATATAAAGTGAGGAGAACCCCTAAATACGGTAAAGGTAAAAACATGGAACATTTTAAAAATCATCTTTCAGTGTGATTTGATTATAATGCAGAGTACATTTGCATCATAATTTATTAATTTCTTGTTTGCTTCTAGCACAGATTAATTTTTACCTAACTAGACTTTATAAAATTATCCATTTCTTTCTATTTCCAGTGAATATATACACCTATTCCATTCAAAGTCTATTATAAATCCTGAATGGAATTATATTAACTATAGTAAAATTAAACATAAAAGTTGGCCATTTTAGAAAATACTAAGCAATGATGAAATTCAAAAGAAGATACTAATTAGCCAGGCGTTGGTGGAACACGCCTTTAATCCCAGCACTCGGGAGGAAGAGGCAGGCGGATCTCTGTGAGTTCGAGGCCAGCCTGGTCTACCAAGCGAGTTCCAGGACAGCCTCCAAAACAATACAGAGAAACCCTGTCTTGAAAAAAACAAAAAAAAATACCAATTAAGGTTACATATTATTGAATATATAATCAAAATTATTTTCTCATCAAAATTCTGACATTTTATGTCATGAGTATAGATGTTTAAAGAATAAGTAAATTTGAGAAAAGCAGAAATAATCATCTTATTCTTTGTAAACAGTATTCCCATAAATTTCCCTGTTTGCATCGTGTTTATGGTGGCTCAGGCTTCCTGTCACCTCTGCGGGTGTTTAATTTCAATTGGTTCTTCGCTTTCACATGTAAGTGTTAGCATGGATGCTTTGAGGGTAGAAGAGAGCAAGAAGTTGAGGCACTTACAGTTTTACTGAATATTCTTGAAGAGAAATTGTTGTAGAACTAAAACAGAATGGAAAAAAAGAATTAAAATGTTGATAATGAGTAAACAAAATGAATATATTTTATTGCAAATGTAGAGATATGTTTTCTGGTTACCCCTCTTATTGAAGCCTTGTCTCTTGACTCCTTCTTGATTGTTTTATAGAATAGTTAGATAGTGACAATTGATTTTTTTCTTTTTCTTTTGTATGCATTTGTGTTCACCCTGTATGCATCTGTATGAGAGTGTCTTAGACCCACTGGACTTACAGAGTATTGTGGGTTGACAATTGGACCTGCATCCTCTGGAAGAGCAGCCAGTACTTATAACCACTGAGTTTTCTCTCTAGTTTTAAATAAATAAAATTATTGAATACTTTTCTAAGTCTTTCAGATATCATGGAATCGCCCCTTCCTCCCTTATACACTTTTGAGTACCACAGAATTTCTGTTATGATTGAAAGGCATTTTAGGAGCTTGTAACACGATGCTTTCTATTACTCTCCAGTGCAATGCACTCATCAGCTGGGAAGTTCGTTTTTGGGGGGAAAGCCAGGGATTAGTGAGGTACTTACAAATTCCATGCGCATGTCTGTAGCAAGCTTAGTGATATTCTCAGACAGTATAGTGGCGTTGTCAAACAGGTCCTTGAGGGACACTTCACTAAGGCCAGCCTCACTGATATTCATGGGTGCAGAGGTCACCTTCTCCCACAGGAGGAGGTTTGATACTAACAGCATCAGGAGAGTCCCTGCTACACAGAAACACAAGTTGTTGAGAACCATTCATTAAAGGTTATTGACCATAATAACATTGCTGCCAATCTCAATGTATGATCTGGCACTCTAAAAGTGGGGTGGTGAATAAACGTTATAATGCAACTAAATAGTTAACTTGAACAAAGAGTTTGAGAATTTGGTGACTTCTCACATCTTTGGGCTTCTATCAGATACAATTGTAAAATGTCCAAACATTTGGAGCCTCTGTTAAATAATTGTGAGTGAGTAGAAGTCATTCTCTTCAAGGAGTTAATGTCCTTGATTTTCAGTTGCCACGCTCTGCAAGACTTTGTCCTTCACTCCATAGAAACATTCCACTTTTACAAGAATAGATGACATCTTTTACCATTTCTTATTGCATGATAGGTATGACGATAGGGCTGCCTGTTGCTCTGTCCTGAGGAGGAAGAGATTCATGTCATAAAAAGGATTCTATATACTGACTTCACTCATTCATGATAATAATTTCCCTCAACACTTTCCCCAAAGACTGCAATCTATTTCTCTATGAACATAGTGTTTACTGTAATCCTATGAGTAGAAAGGAGCCCGTGTGTAATATCAAGCTATCTTGATGAAAGGGGAAGCCTTACAAGTATAATTGATGTGCTGTAGTTTTTTGATTATCTGGTTGGGAAGTCTGCATGCCAATATATGGAAATCCTGTCGTGTGTGGACATATCTTACATACCTTGGGCTTTCATGTGGAGCCAACCTTTTTATTTTGTTTTTGTTTAGTTGGTTGGTTTTGGTTTCTTTGTGTAGCTGTGGCTGACCTGTAACTTGCTTTGTGGATCAGGTTGACCTCAAACTCACAGAACTCCTCCGACTTCTGCCTTCTGAGTGTTAGGATTGAAGGTATGTGCCACCACACCCAACTGGAACCAAGTCTTGGTGCAGAGTATCAGCGAAACCATTACTTATAAATAACAAATTAAACCTTTGTGCACATGGACCCAGAAGCCCCACTAGTCTTGATTGATGTACTTGCCTTACATATAAAACAACAGCCCTTAAATTTTGAGGTTTTTAACTAGGGCCGAAGTTGACTTTATGTTTTTATTGCAAGAAAAACAACATGCTAACATATCAACAATTTACTTTCATATGAAGATGAACCAGGATGTAGATATGAAAATGCAGAATTAATTTACCTTTGATGATGTCAGTCTGTAATAATTTCATTATACAAAATCTTTGATAAATGCAATTGGATATGTACATTATAAAGTTAGGAACACGAAAAGTTTATTCATGAAAATATCTAAATTCAAACACTTAGAGCAATAAAAACTATATGCAAAATGAAATTAAAATAATTCTATGTAGATAACTCCCATTGAATATAAAAAACTCATGTCTCCCCAAATTAATTTTATGTACAAAAATATTTATGTTTAGAATAAATGCATATCTTACTCTTCCATGTATTATTTGAAGGATTTTTAGCAGTCTAAAAGGAGTGCAAAGCTCTAGCGACTTTAGTGTTTCACTTCATATAATCTGATTTATGTTATTCCAAATGATTTTATTTAAAATATTAAGAAAAAGTGCTAATATTAGCAACTTTTCCATTTTTGATAGGATATTTTACTTGAGCTAAGTTGCAAAAACCTTATAGGTCCATCTCTGAGCCTTGTCTACTATGCCCTCAAATAGAAAATAGTTCATTCTATTCAAACCAGAACATGTTACATTCTTCATTCTGCATGTCCTGTATACTGAACCCAAAGGCTCATGTAGTCTTCCCCCATTGAGTGCCTCAATTTCTGAAATTTTGACTTTTTGAGATAGTCATTTCATGTTGTAGTTCTTTCCTGACTATCTGAGGTTATGCATACACATCATGGTTTCAACTACAAGGTGTTATTAATATTCATATTCTTTACTTCAGTCACCTATGATAATGCAAACTATCTCTAGCACTGCTACATGACTCTAGGCAAAGATTCCTCCTCTCTGAGAAACACAGATCCATAAATGCACTTTGCATTAGCTTCTAGAATCATGATTAGAAAGTATTTCTCAGGTCCAATGTGCTTTACTTCTCTTGGTTAGATATTATCGATGCCCTCCATTTCTGTTAAGAAAAATATAACACCAGAAAAGTAAACTATGCAAAAGTGCTTTGCAATATAATGCAATGCTCATTAGGAGGAACTTGGTACACAATTACTTACAGGAGCATAGTTGAGTCAAAGACAGTGGCATCTCTGCAGAGACCCACTGCAGCTTAGCTGTTGACTTAGGGAAGATACTTCACTGGAGTCCTACTTGCAGCTAACTCTCTACTTCTTTTATAGTCCAGCCCAGTATCCCTAAGGCTACACACAAGTAGGAGGGAAGGAAGCATCATTTCCCGTTATTTGCTCCCTTCAGGGGTTTAAGTAGTCTAGTTACCATGAGCACTAATATAATTCTATAATATTAGGCTGTGAGTAGAAAACATATTTGTAGTTAGTAACCACTGATATCCTTCCTAAAGACTAAGAGCAATTTCATGCTTTAGGCAAATAGCTTTGTCATAGACCTTCATTTTTTCCTTCAGGTTCTTATATATTTTGATCATTTCTTCTGAAATTTTCAATGCAACTTAGATGGAGGTCATATATATTTCATTGATTTTTTTCTCATTGGAACATATGACCACAGTAAAAGGCACCTATACTGAGCAATTTTACCCTCCTAAATTTTTAGCAACATCCAAGGAACATTGTGAATTGTTTGATTTTCTACATTAGGCACGTAAGTGTATCAAATATGCAAATACAGATGTCTAGGAAACTGCTTTGGTAGAGAAATCAGAAATACTTAATTAAGCAAGATCAAAAGCCTCCATTTTGGAACCTAGAACATTGCCAGTCAGAGATTTTTCAGTCCAAACATCAGCTCAGTCAATGGAACTGGGCTTAAAGCTAATTAGAACATATTTGATTTGGCTGTAACACATTTGACTATAACAGTCATACTAACAGAGAGTAAGCCTAAACATCTGCCTCGGTTTGGTAATTACCTTGACCTGAGGTGCTTTACTGACATTTCACACTACTCTCCAGCATAGTGACACAGAGCACAGCATCAGTTGGAATCCTTAAAAACAACAACACTAATCACAAGGAAAAAAATCATGTGATACCTCATAATAAATAATAAAAAAGAGATGACTGACTCAGTTGTTTCTCACATAGAAAGATGTTGCTTACAGAGAATTGTGTTATGGGACATACCGTATTTTGATAGAGGTAGCATGGAGTTGTTTTAACTAGTATTTTCTCTCAACTTGGTAGATGTGAGATCACTTTGGAGACTGTGATTGTTAGATCAGGACTGATCAAGGATGGTGGGCATGTGGCACAGCGGCCTTGGAATTCGATGGGCACTGAGAATTCTTTTCATGGAAGATTCTAGCTGCAGGTTTGTTCTCCTGCAGTCTCAAGGTTGGTGTGGCCTTATCAGGTGACACAGGAATTCTACTTTGGAGAAGGGAAATACTTTTGTGTGTGAGACCTCACCATCCATTGGGTTCCCTTGTCATAAGCTTCCTGGGTTCTAGCATCCTGCAGATGGCATTAATATGGAGTTAGCTGAGGAGGCCACACTACCCCTTTGGGTTTCCTGAGGGACTTGTTGGAACCTGGCAACCCACTGCTGTTAATCGCTATCAAAAATTTTCACCTTTGGCTTTTGGGACATTAGTCCTTTAGTGATCCAGATGGTGAAAAGAAGCCCACCTTGCTAGAGAACTTGACAGCATTGTTCAAGTAGCGCTAGTTTTGTAGAAATGGAAGAAAGAAAAATGACAATACCCTTTAAGATTACCACAAGGTTACAGAAAGCTCCTGAGGTCAGTCCCTATGTGACATGTTTTTAGTTCCTATAAGGAGGTTTGAAAGGCCATTGTGTGGCATGATGAAAGTGACACTAAAGTTGTAAAAGATGTGTCAGAATATTGCACATGTGAAGGCATGGAGACAAACTAGACAATAAGAAGGACATAGGTGCTATAGGTAACATATATGGAGTTATTTGGCTACTCAAGCTCTTTAGTACCAAATGATTCCATCATAAGATCAGCTATTAGACACAGACAAACAGCAAATCTGCTGCTTGCTCTGATGGGTTTCAGTATTTTCCTAGGCAGATAATCCTTGATGTTCCCCCATTCTTCACTTTCAGGATGGCATTATTCCTTTGTTATATGATGTCTTGAAACTTTATTTTGGATCTTACTTTAAAGAATCTGTAGTGATATATTATTTATGATTTGTTAAAGTTTGCCTGAGGATTCAAAAAAGCAAAGTAGTAGGCCACTAGCTCTTACCACTACTTCAGGTTGAAAGAGTTGATCCGCAAGGGCTTCACTAAGACTAAAACTGCTGCCTCTCCTCAGTGTGACTGGAGAATGAATGCCTCCTACTGAAAACAGAAAATCCTGCTTCTATCTTTTATACCCCTCTAGTTCTTGCATTAAAGGCATGTGATCTGTTACTCTTTTAGATTGATTCAATCTCGTGTATCCCTGGGCAGCCTTGAACTCAGAGAGATCGATCTACCTCTTAATCCTGAGTCCTCAGATTAAAGGTAAGAACTACCACCTCCTAGACTCTGTCTACTAGATTTAAAAGTGTGCGCCTGGCTTCTATGACTTGTGGCTGACTTTTCTTTCTGAATCCTCAGGCAACCTTTAACAAACCATGAATAATATATCACCACAAGAGTCTTACAGTTAAGAGATTGTTCCGGGTCTCAGACAGGCACTGGACCTACGAAGAGTGAAAGATTACAATGATTCACCAATGTGTGCAATAGATTTGCTATAAGACACGTTTATGCTTGAGGTTTGTCATGAGTCATATTGGTAGGGGTTGTTTGTGGAGTTAATATCAAATAACCAGCTTTGTGTGAGCAGGAGTCAGCCAGCAGGCAAACCTCTGGGCATGACAGTAAGGGAGATTCTATACTTGGTTATCATAGATCATATCATAACTGTGAGCAGCACAGTTCCATGGACTATGAGTAACACTGAATTTCAAGGTTAAAATAAGCAAAATTTAGTCTTGTTCCTGATTGTAAAAGCCATGAAACAAACCATCTCATCTTCTGCCATGATGAACTGTGTTCCCTTTCAATATAAGCCACAAAAACTCTTCCTCACTACACCATTTAGAAATCAGAATTTGAGAAAAAATTCATGGTGTATTTCTAGGGGGAAAGATCACCAGAAATCCACATTATTCCAATTTTATATTACATAGTTTGTTTTTGTGGACTTTGTGGGAAATTATTTATTTAAATTTCATGGGATATAAGATCCTCAACAATTTTAGGTCAGGCAGATGTTGTTGATGCTAGTTCCATCCCTTTAATTGTTGAATAGTAGAAGATTTTCAAATCTTTTTTCATCGCCCAATTCCTGCGCACCTGACAAACTCACTATTTTTGCAAGTGTAAAGGTATCAGATATATAAAGGTGGGCTGCATCATTTCTCTTTAGAGTATCTCTCCCCCAGCCTTTGATACAACATAGAGCACATTCACAGTAGAAGACATTTCCCAGGATTTCAGTGACATATAAATTGCTATATAAATTGGGTTTATGTTTGATAAATGCCAAAGCAGTCAAGATGGGTTGAGAAAATAAAAGGCAGAAAGGGGGTCACTCTAAGAATAAGAAAAGAATTATTCTGACTTCAAAGTAAAGTTCTTTGGAAAATGTTAAAAGCATGCTAGGTGCTATGTTTCTGTAGTCCAAGGTCCTAACAAGTGTTCACTGATGGAGGAAGAGATAGAATGGTGGTCTCCTGTTGATTTATAAAATCATGGTGTTTAGAGAAAGAACAATCAATCTATGATATTCCTGAATTAATTTGGAGCACTGAGCCACAGTAGGTGGATTTGAATATAGAGCTATGATCATGAAAGTAATTTAGCATTTCCTAAATTGGGTGATTATTCTGCTGCAGATGTCACATGGTGTGCCTTTCTCTAGTAGGAAAAATATGCAACTGGTGGAATTGCACCTCTGCTCTAGATATATACCAGAATTGAAGAGTCATGATGGAGGGTACCAATGTAAGTGAACTTAGTCTTCTGGAGAGAAGGAAAGTCTTGGGAGGTGGAAAAATTTCATTTATCACTATTGCCTTGTAGATGGTAGGCCAGGTCAATGAAGATGCAGTGGCCACAAGGCAGTCCAGAGATATGGAAAACGAGAGAACATTCTAAAGAAATTGGCATGGCCTTATTGAATTTGTATGGTTTCATACATTATGCTAGGTACTGGATGGAAAAAATCAGGAGTCTTGTGAGTATGTATACACAATCTGTCTGTCTCTCTCTCTGGGTTTCTTAGATGCCATGTGGTAATTAACTTTGCTCCACCATGTACTCTTCTGCCATGATAATCTATCTCTGGCCTTAAATGGTGAATAAGCTGACCATGTATTGAAATTTCTGAAACTGTAAGTCGAATTGAATTTTTCCTATTTTTATAGTGTTATTGGTGACATTTTTAATGTAAAGCAAAGTCTAACAGGTTCTCATGTGTTGAACTCTTATATTTTCAGAGATAGTTTAATTACATAGTCTCAAAAAACAGGATAATGAAGACAAATATTCATCATAAAAAGTCAACTGATAGATTCAGAAAGAAAAAAAAGAAAGAAGGAAATAAGGAAAGAAAGAAAGAAGGAAAGAAAGGAAAGAAAAGAAAATATGGACCTTTTTTCCATTGGTCTTTACTCACCAGCATTGTATGAATTTATTCCAAATTTCTGATTTTATAACTCATTGGCTGGGGTACAGTTAAATGAGGAAATGACAGAATATTACAGACAGATAAATATGGTAGTTAAGGCCTTGCATTTTGGTCTCCACAATATTAATCTATGCAGGAAACAATTAAAATAAGCCACCAGAGCTAATTTTTTCATTCTCTCTGCACTTCTTTTCCTCTCGGGTGTTGAATACAACGTCAGTTTAGGCTTGTTTGGAAGAAGTAGCTATGGGCTTCTAGTACTAATTTGCAAACACTGTGTACTTTCATTGGATCATGGTAGCATCTACCATACCACAGCTGCATTTATCTTTGTATAAAACAGAAAATGCAGCAGATTAGAATATGCCAGAAGATACCATGTGTGAGTAGGAAAACTTATGCCCAAATATCACGAAGCAAATTAAGATATTCTGAGTGGCATTGTGTTTACTTT